CATAATCAACGCGTAGAGTCCTGAGCCCTTAGAGCAACCAGGTCGAGTTTGTCCGTAAAACTCATGTTTACACACTGAGACAGTGTAAATATCGTCTGATTCATAACCTTCTAAAAGATTTGGCAGATCTTCAGTCCTGTGGTTGCACCTACCTAGGTCCATAGGTTTACTTTTCCCAGCTTTTTTGAAAGTTATATCATGACCCGCCATTACTAGCAGAAAACTTCTGGATTTCCAATTTTCTAGCAAACTCTTTTGTTTTTTCTTTCAACAAGTTTCTTTTATCCATTCAAAAAGGCACTTTTCGATATTGGGAAATTTAGAAACTCTAGTCTTCTTAATATCAGGTGTACAACTTTGCTTCCACCGTTTTTTCCAAAATTAAAAGCTTTATTGCGAAAAAATGCTTACAGATATATTATTCAAAGTATTGTCCTTCGCTAGCGACAACTTTCTCCCATCTTTCCACCCATTTTCGGATCCCGGCTCGAAAAAAGGAGTCAATCCATTTTTCCAATTCTTCGAAGGATTGAAAAAGTTTTATCTGCCAGACCGTGTGCCATCGAACGGAATAGGTGGAAGTCAGAAGGGGCGACATCTGGGGAAGTGGGGCAAGACTTCCCATTTCAGCGTTTCCAGGTACTTTTTGACCACTTTTGCGACGTGAGGCCGATCATTGTCGTGTTGGAGGATGACTTTGTCATGTCGCTCATGATATTGTGGCCGCTTTTCTTTTAGCGCGCGACTAAGGCGCATCAGTTGCGTTCGGTAGCGATCTCCTGTGATGGTTTCACTCGGTTTTAAGAGCTCGTAGTAAATCACACCGAGCTGATCTCTTCCACCACCATGTTTGTCTTTGACATCGAAATCACCATTTTGAAAACGTTGAAACTACTCCCGACACGTTCTTTCACTCAGAGCAGCATCACCGTAAGTTTCTGAGAGCATTCGATGCGCTTCAGCTGCATTTTTTTTCGAATTGTAACAGAAAAGTAAATCTTCCCGCAAATGGCGAGAATTAGGCGCATAAACGGACATTTTCGAGCGTGAATAATACGAAAACAAGAACAACTGTCACTGAAACGGCGATGACAATTCGTTAGGCACTGTCCACACTCACTTTAAAGGCATTACCATCTATGTAAATATTTCAACCAGTCTCAGCCGGTACAGCCACCTATCGGAAAACGGCGGAGGCAAAGTTGTTCACCTGATATTTCCGTATCCATCAGAACACTCAGACTTTGTAAAGTCTTTTGATTATCTTTTAATGACAGTACTTTAATTTTCCTTTTTGATTAACTATAAACTGAGTAAGTCCGACAAACAGGACGGTACACAGGCATTTCAGTATACAGTATGCGATACAATAACAACGTTATCTAGTTTCGCGAACAACATTAACGAGAAGAAGTTCCGTGAAAGTTAAGGATGCGTCATTAAATAGCAGAAGCTCGACTGTCGCTCATAGAGCTATAGATAAATATCAGTCTCACTTACCGAGGTCCCTAAGGGAAAAACGACTCTCTCTTACTCACACTTACAGAGCTTTCTCACTTATCCAGTTCTCACTTACCCACGTTTGACTGTATATACATATTTGCGAAATATCCACCGGAGTGGCATATTTATGCTCGACGCGGGCAACGGCACGCAGCCGGTTGTGATCGATAAATCACCTGCTAAGAAAAATTTAAAAAAAAAAATATATATATATATATTGCAAATGTGATGGCGGCACGATTTAGTTGCTGATAGTTACCGGCTGCCAAGCGGACGCGCCCAGAAATGTCACATACGTTTATTGCATATATGTTTGTATATATGTATATGCATATGCACATACATACATATGTAGAATAGTATTTTTTAAAAAGTCTATGTGTTATTAAAAAAAATTGTTATTGAATTCTCAAAATAGCTTCAAATATATTTACATATGTATGTATGTATATATGAATGTACATATATTTCATGCTTATTTTCGACTTTCACTTTTTTTCTTTGAACAGAAATTATTATCCACACAGTGCGATAATTAAGTTCTTAGATTCCAAAAAAATTGCTTGAACGACTTTTGCTTTCCTTCACAGGCTTCCATTGCAATTGATTTTGGAGGTCTTGCATAGAGTATTTAATCTCATTTTGACCAGCTTTTCAGGAAATTTCATTCTACAGTTTCGTTATTCCAATCGGTGCACTTATGTGAGTTGGTTTGAATAATCAACTCACTCTTCTGTGCATATTGATATTTCAAAGTGATGCTTCGGACTCGCTTGCAGATTCTTCTCGAGCTCCCATTCCTCTAGCGTGCTTACGTTGTGGTGTATTAGGTTCCGTATATAAGATATCCTTGGACGACTGGCTACCATCCTCCTTATCAGATTTGGTGATCTTCAACAATCCAACCCTTCATTGGCATATAATAATTATATCGTTTAGGAGCCATAGGGCATTTCTGACTTAACCATGTGAGGTATGAGTATTTTCACTTTTTGTATGGATGGAATGCAATCATGGCACACTATCTTTAATACGGCGCCCTAGCATAGACCGTGAAGTGTCTTAAAAGCTTTCCTTACACATAGCAGCAAGGATTTCAACCCGTTATCCAACTCTTTAACCATTTTCGCGAAAAGCACATAGAGCAGATTAAGAACTCCTACTCTTTACCGCTTCTCTGTAGTTTGTCCAGAGAGTTACTGGGGTTAATGAGTGCCACTGACCGCTGCCGCTGGCTTTAAAGTTGTGGGGTTTTCGCAATCGAGTGCAGTCAATAGTTCCCCCTATTCCACCAACCGGCTGGTCTTGCACCTCTGTCGTAAAGTAAATATATCGCTCAGCTTTCGAAAGGGTGATTATAAGAGAACAAAAATTTCTTAGTCCTGGTCGAATCTTGAGCAAGCTTTTTGGAATAAAAAGTTTGAATCAGTAGAAACATTAGATACCTTTATTGGCAGAACCAATATCGGACATCTGGAAAATTCGGGGAAGTAGGCTATTATACATATTACCCAGATACTGACCGGTCCTTGATACTTCTTGAAATATTAGTACTAAATAGGAAAAGACATAAACTTTATGGACGGATATTTTCCTGTAATTATAACGATGCCAATGAAGATGATGCCGAAGATACAATTTTTAAATGCACTCGCTGGCAGTCTGAGGGAACTAGACTTGAAAACACAACGGAAAGCAGAGAATATTGCCACAATTATGTTACAAGAAGTTCGCAAAACTACTATGAGCGAAGATAATACAAAAAAGGACCTGCACAACGATGGCGAGATGTAAATCCGACTACAAGCAATATGGTACGCCACCCTGAAGTAATTCGAAAGTAGTTCCCTGGGTGGGTGCCGTTTCCTTAGAGGAGAGTTTTTTTTTAGTGACGACACTAAAGACGACATGGAAGGTACATTTCATCACCTGGTAGTCTTAACTAACATAAAACCCTAAGTTCCCTTGGACGTACCACTGAAAATATTCGCATTTTGAAAGCTTAGAACTGACTGGTTCCCAAGCAGGCTTTTCGGGCAGAAAGCTTTATGAAACTGTCTCAACAACTCCTTGACTCCTTTCTTTAATATTCACAAACATGTCAGGTTGACTGAAGGTGCCATATGTTAGTTCCATCACACGCTTTTACACCTCTTATCATATTTCTGGAAAGTATGCGGCTTTTTCACTACGAGATTCATACACAAGTAGACCAATCAAAAGATGGGTGGAACTCCCAATAGTACGCGACAGGAGCCTAAATGTTTGACTCTACTTTTAGTTCCAAATAATGGGTGATTATTATAAAGACAGGGATTGCCATTGTGTTTTAAAAATGATTTTGTGCAAATTTGATCGCAGCGACTAGCTCGAATAAATTCATGCCGAGCACCAGAAACTTCGACCACTTTTTGTAATAATTGGTGTTGTAAGTCAGCAATAGCTCGCGGAATATTCTCTTCCTAGGCGTCAGACGCCTCGGGCTTATTTGCGTAGATAAGCGATCTTTTTTTGTTTACTTTTACGTATGCATTCAACGAAAAGTGAGCTTCATTGCAGAACAAAAGTTTCTTGTGAAAAGCGAAACCGGTGTCTTCTCGTTCACGGAACGAGCGGAGTGCTTGATTAACGTTCGGCTTCATATCTTTCACGAAATGCATTGTAAGCTCACAAACCAAGGTCCTTTCGCAAAATTTTCTATAAAGTGTATTGACAAAGCTCCGATTGTTGTACGCGTTGGCGAATGGACTCATTCGGGTCTTCTTCGATACTTAGTTCCACAGCTTCTAAAGCGCCTTCGATGCGTAGTGTACAACTTTTTTGAGGATGTGTATTATCCACTATAGTCAGCGTGATGTAAAACCGATCCAAGATTGGTAGCTCGAATTATTGACTCTGCGGAACGATTATGTGGACCCAATATTGGACGCATAACGCAAAGCAAAGTAAGCCAAATGTTTAAAAAAGCACCCTTTATGTATAAATTTATATGCTAGACAATACATATACTTTTAATATATGTGTTATGTATACCGTTAGTTATATATAATATTATACAGCTTTTTCTTAATGTGCTTTTTCTCAATAATTTTTTCTTATTGCGCCATATATCTTCTGCTGATGGCTTGACAGAATTGTCTCTTGGACAAAAAACTCAATACATTTGGTTGGCAGCAATTTTTCGTTTATTTTTTTATTTTTCTATTGTTAATTATTTTTTTTTTTATACTTTATTTTATATTTTATTTACCATTCTTTACTTTGCCAATTTTTAACGCACGTCGATTTGGCCTCTCTTTGGCGGTAAATGTTTATATACTAATGTATATTAAATTTTTTCTTTTCAAACTTATTAATTTTAGTATGTATATTAACTACATACAAACATATATGTTCATAAATATATGTAAGTATGCGTTTGGTATAGTACATAACACTTGGGTGAATGTGAATGAGAGTTGTTCACACCTGCATTGAGCCATATAGATGCAAAAAAGGATTTTTAGTTAGACCCGAAGTCTTCAAACCAACAGTTGTTAGCTCCACAGAGCGATAAATATAAATAAGAAAAAAATTGTAAGAGCCTTTTTGCAAATTCCAAAGTGAACGAAAACTCGAGGTGTGTGGTAAAAGATGAGAAAAAATTAAAAAAAAAAAATATTAATACGTATTTACGTCAATATCAAAGACAATAGTTGGAGGAATTAAAAAATGGAAAATTGTGTTTTTTATATAAAAATATTTTTACAAGCAGACATTTTTCATATATCTAAAATCAAATATAAAAAGTCGTATTTAACACGGCGTCGCTGAGTTTTTCAAAAATTTAATAATATCAGCGATTTTGAATTTGTTTCTTAATTTTATGCAAATTTTTAGATTTTCTTTTCTTGCATAAATACATACAACTGTATATCAGAAAATATTTTTTAATAAAATTTAATTACATACATATATTTTTTGTGTAGGTGTATTATGCGCTGCTGCCTAGCAAGATCAAATAATTTGATTTTCAAAAAGTAATCTAAATTTAATAAAGAAATATTAAACAAAAAAATTGCACCAACAAATACTCGCAAAAAATTTTTCAAATATAATACTTGGCTGTTATCCAATAAAATAAGTACAGATGTCAAGTTTTATATATTTTTATAAATTATGATTATCATTTTGTTAAGAAAGTGAGAAAAATTTTTGATTAGCTTAACTTATTAGTTCGCAGCAATAATAATACACATGCCAAGCGTATTATTCATAGCTTTTTTTTTTATAAAAATGTTTGCAAAAACTTAAAATTTTTTTTTTGTTTTTTTTTTATTTTTTGGGAGTGGTGATTAAAATTTATGGGAAAATATATTTGAAGGTCATCCTAAATTTGGCTGATTTACAAATGAAGTTTTCAGTTTCTATAAAATTCTTGTCAATTTTTTCGAGATCCATGTAAATATATAACTAGCAGATCCGCCCCAACAGCACTGTGGGTTTCTGTGATTTGTCCATTATTTATAATGATTGCATTAACAAGCAAGTACGATAAGAAACCCTAATTAAGCATCAAAATATTTAATTTTTATTATATTATTGATTTAATTGCTTATTTGTATGTATGGGCCACTTCTTCGCTGCACAAAGTGCTTCACAAAAATGTAAATATGAATGCCTCCGAGTAAGCCAACACCCGGATCCATGCTTATTCACACTCAAGTTGGACGTTTAAGCATTGCTTGCAACCCGAACCCGTACAAACCTACGTACGACCTATGCTTATTCCGTAATCACACTAAGTTTGGTCAATCAGTTAGTGATTCCTTTGCCGTAATGAAAGTACCATTTATATTTCTAACAAATCGCACTTGGTTTCACGTCCCTGGTACATTTCCAGGAAAGCCCAGTATTCTATTCATGCATATCATCTAAAAATTTAATTGAAACAATGAATATGTATTTTTCTAAAAAAAATCGGTCCACTTCATATAAAAAAAAAAGATTTTCAAGTGAAAATTATTATAAACATAGAAAACAAGTATTTACCAAATTTCTGTTAATCTACGAGGATGTACCAAATTTGAAGTAAATTGAACAATAAATAAGATTTTTTACGCAAAAGTCAGTGCCTGGTCCGTTTCCCGACACAATTTTCGTATAAAAAATTCCGGTAACTATGGAAACAATCTGACAAAATTTCAAGTCATTCCCAGTATTTGCAGGTTCTTGGCGACTCACTATCGATGTGTTTAGTCTGACGTTGTTCTGAAGAAACACAATTCCCCTCCTGTTAGCCAAGCCTGGTCACTTTCTTCAGACGGTCATCTATTGTAAAAATAATGGATGACTTGTTGCTAGGCCTAATACTAAAATATCTAGTTCAACTACTATCTCTCTGCACCTAAAAATATATAAACCAATATAGCTAATCCTCTTTTTTACGCTCTCTTCTTTTCAGTTTAAAAAATGAGTGAAGTCCGAAGCTTAATGTCCACTTTTGCCATTTTGGCTGTGCTCTTGATCCTTCTCTGGCTTTTGTATGCCATCTTTTAAACTAGAGAATACATAAAAAACCACAACAACAACGTTTCCAAGTTTTTCACTTGGAATCGTTTAGTTTATAAAAAGATGTCGTGTCGAGTTTAATAAGAGAGGTAAGTGAGTATTTTTTTCCATTTCAAATTTATAACTGAAATAAAATCCACTTCATTTTTCCGTTGTCATCCACGTTTTTTACCATTAAAAATAATAATTTCAATTCAAATTTTGATTTTTAATTATTTTAAATCTGACATTTTCTTTTTATATTTTAAGTTTTAATTTTGTTTATCTTATCTTTTGACGAAATTTCTTTTACTTCCTTTTTGGTATTTTTCTTTCAATTAAATGTATTTTGCGAGAATTGCCTGACAAGTAATTTGAATTTGAATTTCCGTTTTCTTAAAATCTAGTCTGCTCTTTCTAATTCTTAAAACTTGCTGTGTAGCTGTGAAAATTAAAAGATTAAATAATTATCACTCAATTTGTCAATTTTTAATAAACAATATTAGTTGAATTCTATGAAAACATGGCGCAGTTAATTGAAATTTCATTCAACGGAAAGTGTGGAAAGTTTAAACTTTTTTCTCGCATTTTTCATTAATAAACAAATTAAAAATTTACTAATGATTGTTATATTAAGTTCTAAACAAATTATAATAATAAATATACATACATCACTTATATATGCTTAATGATGTTTATTTGTACATATGTATGTGTGTATGCCAATAATGAACACGAAATTCACACCTTCAATGAATACTTGTACTCTTAGCGCAGTTAAAAAAAATTGGGCTTTCAAAATTAGGATTTTTTTCAAGAAAATTGTTGTGGAATGATCGTTCATTATTGCGGTTTTCTGTGTTTTGTTCAAATTTTTAATCTAATTAATATTGTAAGGAAGGTTAAGAATCCTAATAAACCATCATCTAAGTCAAAATATTAAGGGGCACACCTAGTGTAATGGCCTAAAAAAAGGTGATTGTTGGGAATTTTTATTAAAAAAAATACTTTATCAATTTTTCAAAATTTTAATTTTTCAAAAATATACAGTGAAATTTTTGAAGAAAAAAATTAAATATTTTTTAAGTTATAGTCGATCTCCAACGGCGCGAAAAAAAAGTCCTTCACTGCTGCAGTGATTCCGGCCTTCTCTGTGGTTGAAATCTAAAAAAAAAAATTCTTTATAAGATAATATTGTCTGTACAATGACGATAAAATAATCAAAAAGTTACAATATTGCGGCGTTTTAAAAAAAAATAGTCGAATTTTCCCTAAAATTTTGGTCGGTTTTGGCCGGTCAAAATTCGATTTTTGATCAGATCAAAAATCCATAAGTCATTGTGCGGAGAACTATATATAGAACACGTAAAACTCTTCGAGATATCGATCGCACTTGTATGTAGTATTGAAAAAGCTTGCCTTACGACAAAGCTTCTCCTGCTAGGAACGATATAAGTGATAAGACTACTCTCTTGAAAACAAATTTAAATGTGGAGACTGATGTTGTTGCAGATCCAGTGAAGCGATGTTCACAATTTCCAATCTAATGCACAGGTGTCTTAGAAGGTGTTGAATTTTAAATTCGAAGCATAAATTTCCGCTGCAGTACAAGTAATTTGGACCTACCTCGCCCTCTCCTGCCATTCTGCTTTGTGACAGTCAAGTTGTAATTTTGCGAAAATCACGTACCCCAATATTTGTTTATTTTGCTTTAACGCAAAAATACCTTTTAAAAATCAATGAAGTGAAACTGCCAATAGTTGAAATTAAAATTTTGAACTTTTTTGCTATTTAGTGTAAAAATTTTATTTAGTATAGTTTGTATAAAAATTATACGTTTTTTCCGCCCACACAAAATTGACTGTGCCGACCCAGCACAATTCCATGCCAATAATTGGAAAAATGCCGTTGCTGCCATCGCTTTCACAGCCATTACACACATCCGCCGGCAAAAGTAAAGCATCCGTATGTTTCACGCACTTGAATGGGGCGGGTAAAAGAGAGAGCCAGCGCAAAAGAGAGAGGGGCAGCGAAGACATCGATTGAAATAATCCCATCTAATCTATAAACATATAAATTGCTATACTCGTAATATATGTTTGGAAATTTGTGTAGTCTTCATCTACGAGTATATGCGTCCACATACACATATCTATACATACAAATAAATATTTCTGCTCAAGTCCACCTAGTTCACAGGCTTTTATATAAACTTACATGTTTATATTCAAATATTTCAAATATATATTTTATGTACATGTATGTATGTTTGTGTATGTAATTCCCGCTGTTTCTGGCACCGGTTCTGCTGACGGCCCCCTTTTTTTGATTCAATACAGGCCGGCCGATACGTCGCTTCCGTGCACCGTGTGCTGCTAATCGGCACGCTTTGGTCATTGTGGAGAATTCTTGCAGATGCGATTGCCAGTTTTTCAAAAGCATTCGGTACGAACGGTGGGCTCCGATCAATTAAATCATTTACCGTTAGCGGTGCGTTTTACATACATACATATATGTAGATAAATAAGAAATTACTAGTAGAAAAATATATAAATACACATACACACATGCCTGTACATAAACATATATATAAAGCATTAAGGACATTCAAAAAAAAAATAATGAAAACTTAGGCTAAAATTGTGCAAAATCCATTTATTCCGAAAAAAAATTGTGTTTAATAATTTCTCCTTAATTTTTGGCAATTATTCCGTTTAAGCTCATTGAAATTGTAAAGCAAAAAACAGTCATAAACATCATCATCTGGCCTTCAACTTTAATGCAATTTTATTTTGTATATTCCCTACCAAATTGTACAGCTTTAACATCCACCAACAACAAAAACAACAACAACAACCACACCAACAAAATGAATGAAGCCAAGAGTTTGTTCACCACTTTCCTCATTCTGGTCTTCTTGCTGGGTTTGCTGTGGGCTTTCTATGAAGCCGTTTTTTAAATCATCTTTTAAAAGTTAAGCGAAAACAACAGCAACAACAACAACAACAACAATAGCGACATATAAACATGATTTTCATGTTTCCAAAAATTAAATTTTTCAAAACCACACATGCACACACAAACATCCCGTGCGAGTTGGGTATGAAGTTTAGTTAGTTTTTTTTTTTTTTCAAATTTTCACCATTAAAGCGTATTGCATGAAATCTGGCAAAAACAACAAAAGCAACAACAACATCATCATCTTACATGATATAATTAATACGCCTAAACAATTCCAAAATAACATTAATTCACACGCATTTTGTAATTAAGGACCAACGAAAGCAAACAAAAGCAAGAGAACAAATGGAGTTCGTTTAGTTAAGAAATGAGGTAAGTTGAATTAAATAATTTTCTAAAGTACTTAGTTTTAAGGCAGTGTATATTGCAACGTATAAGTTAGACATTCTTCACGAACTCGCACTGAGTTCCTCTTCAAAAGTCAGATAAGTTTCTTAATAAACTAATTTAATATATTTAATTATAAATAAAAAAAAATTTAATATTAGTTAGAGCTGCTTTATAAGCACCACAAATGCATAGTAAAGTTGAAGCACCAGCTTCTCGAATCCTCTCTTTCATTCTTGAGTAATTAATCAAAATCTGCGCTCACAAAACAAATCGACATCACAATGAGAGCGCAACAGTTTCCCGATAACAAATAAAATAAAATAATTTGCAAATTTATTTTCGCATGAGGAGAGTGCAGCTTAACTTATTTTATTTTGATATTATTACGTTTAATTTAATTAAGTTAAATTAAATTTAATTAAATCCTTCTATGTTATGATTTTCTATTTAAATTTATTTTACTTATTAATTTTTGTTAAGCGATCAGTTCAAGTAATTTTGAAATTTTATTAATTTAAAAAAATGTCCAGCTTTTTGATATCAAATAGCCCCTGTAGATGCTAAAATATTTAGCGAAACTTTGAGCAAAAAGTCGAATAAGTTAGTTTTATTTGCACTAACCAAACCAGATCAGCTAAGCCTAGTTAATAAATAAAATCTCTAAATTAATTTAATTTAATTTAATTTTTTTTTATTACATATTTTTTATTTAATTTAATTTTATTCTGTTTCATAATCTTTGTTGTTTTTTTTAACTTAATTTAAATATATTTTTATTGAGATAAATTTAGTTTTATTTTTCTATTTGATTATATCTTGTTTTATTTTACTTAACTTTACTCCATCTTGTTTCATTTAATTTTAATTTTGTTTTATTCAATTAATTTTTTATTTATTTTCATTTAATTTAATATTAATTGATTTTTTTTTATTTATTTTAATACAGTTTTCTTTCAGTTCATTTTATGATATTTTATTTTATTTCGGTTTTTTTTTTATTTTAGTTGATGTTATTTTATTTAAACTTAAATTTATTTTTTAAATTGTTTTCTGTTATTTTAGTTGTATATTTTGTATTTTAATTTACTATTACTTATATTTTGAAAATCAAAATCATTCGACTTTATTTTAATTAATTTTATATAATATTATTCTGATTTTTATTTTATTTCATGATACTTTATTTTTATTTTCTCATTTATTTTATTATTTTATTATTATTTTATTTCACTTATTTGATTTTTTATTTATTCAAATTGAAGTTTTCCTTTTTGATTAATATTTTTTAATTTTATTTTGTTTAATTTAATTTAATTGTATTAAATTTAATTTTATTTTGTTTTACTTAATTTTGTTTAATGTTATTTCATTGATTTTGTAAATTTTTTATTTCAATTTATTTTATTTTATTTCATTTTATTTTTATTCATTTTACTAGGTTATATTTGACTTTCTTATTTTAATGTATTGTGTTTTATATAATTTATGTTTGTTTTGTGATATTTTAGTTCTATATTTGTTTTTATTTTAATTTAAATTAATTTTAATAACTTTGTTTTTTATTTATTTTATATAATATTATTTTATTTTATTTTTATTTTATGATAATGTTGTTTTTCCTTTTATTTCTTTTTTTTGATTTATTTTAATTTGAGTTTACTTTTTTTTAGTCTATTTTTAATTTAATTTAATTGACTTGAACTTAATTTTTTTTGTTTTGTTTATTTGTTTTTAATGTGTTTTGTAATATTTTTATATTTAATTTATTTTATTTTCTTTCATTTGATTTTTAATTTATTTTTATTTTATTTTGTTTAATTTAATTGAAAAAAACTTAATTTTTTTGTTTTATTTTAATTTTATTTCATTTCATTCTAGTTAATTTTACTTGATTTTATTTGATTTTTTTATGTTAGTTTATTTTAATTTTTTTAATATTATTTTATTTGGTTTTATTTTATTTATTTATTTTTATTTTTATTTTGATTTCAATTTTTAATTTTGTTTTGTTTTAATTCATTTATTTTTTTTTTATTTTATTTTATTTTACTTTAATTTATTTTATTTTATTTAAATTTATATCCTTTTTATTTTATTTTAATAGTTAATAGAATTTTAATTTTTTTATTTAAACTTATGTTACTTTATTGGCTTTAAAGTAATTTGACTATTTTTTTTCTACTTTTTGTTTATATTTTTTTTTTATTATCTGAATATAGCATATTTTAATGTTATGTAAATTAATTAATGTATGGGTTAAAAAAATCAAAATTGGATTAAAAATCTTTAAATAAAAAGAAAAACCATTATAATAGAAATTTATGGGTGATTATTTTATTTATAAACATATGCCAAGTTAAAAAAATATATTTTGAAATTTCAAATGCCAGAGGGTCAATGATGTAGTATCGTATACAGTTTTGAATTTTTTCCAGTACATTTAAAATGCATATGCAACACATATGTAGATACAAAAAAATGTGTAAAAATATACACATTTTACTCTATATAAAATATTCGATACCGAAAATTTGTCAACTTTTTGAGTGATACGTGCGCAGAAACCGAACCAACAACAACTGAAAAAATATATGAGCACATCAGAATATATATGTATAAATTCTGGCACTTTTTGTTTTATTATTATTTTTTATAAATACATATATAATTCATATTTTTTAGTAGCGCGCAAAGCATAGAGACTTTCGCTGCTTGGTTTGGTTTACACAATATTTTTGTATATGTTTCTGTGTTTTTATGCATTTCCATCAAAATCTTAAGCGTAATTGTTATTTTTACTGAAAGCAAATTTTAGTTTATATATAAAGTGTATTTATATTGAAAATTGTTTGCTTTTTGTTTTTTACTTTAAAAATTTGTCTTCTCTGTTATTTGGCCATGCCGGCTAATATGTGTACACCCGCTGGACAGTGTCTTTGTCGTTTGTTTGTTTGCTTAATATTTTAAAGTTTTTTTGTTGTTTTGTCTTATCTCACATACTTTCTATGCTATTCTGGTGATATTTATAACATTTCGTTATATTAAAGTATTAAAGGTGACACCAAAAAAATGCTGAAAAGTCGTAAATTTTCTAAATAATGCTTTGCCACTTTTATTTATATTTTCCTTTTTGTATGCGTGACATAAAAATATAAAAAAATATTTGTTTTTTTTTTTTAATTGTTTAGTTGCTAAAAATATACTTGAAAAAATATATGAAATGTCAAGTGCGCTTTAATCTGCTCGTGTCGGGCTTTTGCTTGGTCTACATAAAAAGTTTTGATCATTTGATGACAGCTGTTTTTTCTTTCTTGTTGACAGCATACATACAAATATATGTAGGCCCAATGAAGGGAAGAAGTAATGAGAACAAGTTATTTTTGAAAGAAAATGTGTAATAATTCTTCTGGAAGAATCATTGCACGGTTTCGGAATGTGCTAGAAAAATAAAATATATAACTTTCTATAGGGTGTGTCCCAAAAACAACTGAACTTTTTGGATATAAAATAAAATACACATTATATTATCTTTGAAAGTTATTATTTATTCAAAATAGGTTCCATTTGACTCAACACAAAGTTTGGAACGATCAACCAGCGCATGCATAGATTTTGTTTATGTCATTTATAGAAATGTTTTTCAGTGCCTCGGTTACGGCTGCTTGAATGGCTGTGATATCATCATTAAATGCTCCCTTCATCTTGGTTTTCAGTTTCAGAAATAAAAAATAGTCACTTGGTGATAATGATCAGGCGAATGCGGAGGATGGTCGATGAGAGAAATCCCTTTTTTCGTTAAAAATTCGAGTGATTTTTTGGTCGTCATTTAATTCATGTGGAACAAATCGCGCACAGACCTTTCTTTTCCCCAAATCTTCAGTTGAAATTCTCCAAATAGTGTTTTTACTCGTATTCAATTCCTCAGCCAACATTCTCGTAGTAAAATTTGCATCGATACCAATGATTTCACGGACTTTTTCCACCAGTTCAGCACAATTACTAATTTCTGGACGTCCTGATCTTGGGTCGTCATTTAAATCCTCACGACCATTTTTAAATCGTGTAAACCACGCACAAACTTGCTTACGACTCATAGAATCATCACAATAAACTTTTTTCATTAATTTTTTTTTCAAGTTTGACACAAAATTTTATATTTGCTCTTTGTTCCATTTTATTTTTGAACCATTAGCACACTTTGGTTGGTTTTATTGAAATGGCTGTCACTTTTACATCTGTCATCCGACTTACATGATGTTAGGTGCTTTTGAAAGAGGATGAATGTATCTTTTTAATGTTGCAAATATTTCAATAGATGGCGCTGTATGATTTAAATATAAAGTTCGGTTATTTTTGGGACACACTGTATCTGATACTTTGGTTCTTGTAGAGTAATTGTAATTAAATGCCAATTTTTGTTGGTATAAATATAATTTATCTATTATTTTAGAAATACAAATACAATCTGTATACATAACTTTAGATCATAAATAATTTTTCATACTAATTCTCAATAAAAGTTTTATTTTATTTATTAGAAATAATTATCACATTCATAGAAATTCAAAAAAGGAATATGTATTTTATTTGTATATATATATATATGTATCTATGAGATTTTAGTTTCTCGTAGTTTATGGCTGAATCTAATTTGATGTTAATTAAATACTATTTATTGAAAGTCATGCTTAAGTGATTGAACCCTATATCTTCCTAATATTTCAAAAAAGGTATGAGTGATTGGTTCATGAATCGAACAAGAATACTTTTTTTCCACCATAAAGACTTCATTCATTCATTCATTTACAATAAATCAATATTTTGACGTCTGCTCTAGGGGCATACTGTGCCACCACATCTTCAAAGTATCGGAACTCGAGCATTGTTAGTCAATTCGACTAAAAGTGTATAAAATGGATAGTGAATTTTTCTTCTTCTTCTTCTGAATTTGCGTACGCACCGCTTAAGCGACTTTAGCCGAATCAATATCTTCAACACCAAGTGTAGTCTTGTTTTATTGCAACTAAACTTTGGAATGTAGTGGATGTCTTCTGCTTTTCCTGCTTCCGCCAGCAGGTAGCAGAATACTTTCAGAGCTTAGGGGTTTTCATCGATGCTTCAGCATTACACATACACATATATAATGATAGTCAAGTGGTTTGATATATTTTTTATATATATATATTAGGTATATAGTATTAATAATTTTTGCTTTGAGCTCTGGTAAAGTTGTTGATCATCATTTGGAGAAGACTCATCGTGAATGCAGAATTAGTCGCCAATTAGTTAGCCAATTTTCACAGGTCTCTCTTGAGGCCAACTTCTCACCATTAAGCGCGTTGGCCATGAACAGGAAAAGATGGTAATTACTTGGTGCTAGGTCCGGACTATAAGGTTGGTGCATTAAGACCTCCCACCAAAGACGCGCGTAACCTGGCGTTGTCCTGATGGAACATAATTCGGCCTCTGTTGATCGAAGAAGGCCTCTTCTGGATGAGTGCTGCCTTCAAGCGGAAAATTGTTAAAGACAAACTTTTAGCCCGAATAAATACGTTTTCAGCGCCGTATAGTATGACATGATGCGACAAGTAACACTAGTACTATGGACGATAACGCCATATCTTAGATAAAACCCGAACGAACTTTTGACCTAATATTTATTAAATACATATATATACATATGTACGTTTGCTCCAAGAACTCACCTTTGAAAAAATTCTACCGGAGTAGGAAAAATCTTCCCCAGAGTAGGAAGCAGAACTATTTCCAGATTTCGCCATACCAATTCGCTGTGTGCATACCCACCACCAACCGCACAAGCGTTGGAAAATTAACATACAAAAATACCTGTAGCCTATGTGGAAAAGCGAAGGAAGAACCAATTAGTTAGTGTAAAAGTTTAAACTATAAAAATTGTAGTCAGAAAGTAATATTTTCCTTACAGGGTCACAATAGCCGAGTGGTAGGCATTGCATACTGCCATTCTGATGGCCAGGGGTCGAGCTCTGTTTCGAGCCAAAGAAATAGAAAATTAATTTTTCTGCCCCTCTGTAGGTAACGTCAAACACTCTGAACGTATTTCTGACATAAAATAAATGCTGCTCACAAAAATCCATCGGTCGTTCGGCAGCAGCATAGAATAAACTGCAGAACCCTCCATTTGTTGGACGTGTACCTCAAATCTGAGAAGGTGCCTGGTCGAAAATTAAATCGGCGGTTACAAAGCGCAAATTATATGAATATATATAATATATACATATATGTATGTATGTATATTTATAAAAAAACACATGTTGTATGTTCTTACATTTATTAATACACGCATACATTTACATACAGACATAGTATATGTTCGTTTAACGGATACCATATGTTAGCCATTTCAAGTGGTTTAATGGATTTTGGCAATAGTTTTATTTGGGTCATTAATTCCTGCATAATTCAATTGAAAGCGCCGCACGGCCTGTACATTCGTATAAACGCACAGGGTCTATTGCATGATTATAAAAGTAACATTTAAATTTTTTTTAATTGGATATTAATAATATGCCATAAAACATTTGGCAAACTGTCAAAGACACAAAAAAAAGTAAATTCAATGATTCCAGATTTTTTGTGGTTGATTAGGAAATACGTATGTATGTTAATTATACCGCTGCATATAAATTATAAAGCATATGAGGCATATAAATCGAAGAAGAAGAGAGAAGAAGAAGAGCGCTGTTGTATTTTATTTTGAAATTTTCCTTAGAAATTATTATTTTATTATTATTTTTTTTTTTAAATACCTTTTACTTGAGAACTGCTTTGCAAACATTTACAACAAAATATTTTTATTCTTCACATTATTCCACTTGCAGTTGACGTCAACGCTTGGACATTCATGTGAATTAACATCGCAACAGCGGCATTTGCGTGTCGTCGCCACTAATACTTACAGAGTTATTTTGGTGAGTTTTAACGCAAATACATCATTAAGAAATATCTAATTTTATTCTTATATTTTTGCTAAATTAAACACAATTGCAAAGGCCATAGATCGATTAATTGTTGAATGTGTACATACATAATCACATGTATGCACTCAAATTTATTGTTTATACTGGCTGTAAATTTTGTTTTCATGTAAACCGAAATATGTACTTGTTTATTTTGTATATATATATATTACTTATTTAATATTTATATGTAAACACTTGTCTATATATTACACTAACAACTTGACAGTCATTTTTCACTAAACCAAATATCTTTTTCCGACAGATAAATATAAACATCCAGACTCTGGCAACCTCAAAAACTGTGAGCTGCGAGTTTTCGCTGAAGAGCGGAGGAAATTATAAAGAAAAATTAGCAGCATAAAGTGTGGAAAATGTCAGCTGTCAGCAACAATCCATCAATACGTCAATCACTTTGTCCAGCGGTCGTTCATCACATCGTTTACACAATAATTGAGTTTATTTAAAAGTCAAAGAACAAATGAAAATTACAAAAAAAAAAAAAAAATCATATAAAAACTAAAAAGAAAAATTTAAAAATAGCTTAAATGCGAGCAACAACAACAACATGTATTTATTAGTAAATACAAATTTTAATTTTTTTTTTTCGTTCTTAGTTGTATGTTTAAGGGTATTTGATATAAGCCATAGGTGTAGTGACTTTATAATATTATACACATATAATATGAAATATATTTAACAGCAGCAGACAGAAATAATAAACAAAAGTGAAAAAATGAGTATATATGGAACGTTAGGGAAAATAATAAGACCGTAAAGTAAAATTAAAAAACTAGAGAAAAACATCACAAAAAATGAATTTTAATTTCTCATGAATAAGAACAAACGTTGGATAAGCGGTATTTTTAGGTTTTGTGTGACCAACGGATCATTCCAGGGAAAATACTCTGATATCAACAATAATATAGAGAAAACGAGTTAAGAACTAAAAATTAGTTGGTGTGGAAGTTCTGAAATCATCTTCTCTCATAGAGAGTAACCTTTGAGAGCTAGTTAGTTTATATAATTCAATAGAAATAACGATACCCAAATAACAAAAGCCAAAATATTGCCTACAATTAGGCAAAAAATCTTATTAAATTTCTGCTTACTACTTAAACCACCTTAACATTGCTATGCATCATTATTAAATCTTTTCTGAATTTGCTTTGGTGGTATGACATTTTTACTTACAAATATTTAAAACTACTAACTTAAAATGCATTTTCATTCATATTATACACATACTTAAGCTTGTGCATATCTAAATATATATATTTAAACAAGTGCACAATCATCTCAACAGAAGGTCAAATTTGATTCAACCGTTGATAGTCGCCCAACCGAAAAAATACTTACGACATTTAAAGGCCGAAAAATATACACGAGCAGAAAACTTGACATTAAGTCTCTTACACCGTTGCAGAAGCTGAACTTCAGTGCTTAATTAAGCATGAAAACACTGAAGGAAAAATATGTACTTACTTGGGTAGGCAAGTGCAGATGAGGAATAAAAGATATAAAGTAAGTTTACAGGGAAATAAGAACTGTGAGAACATGCATCACAACATAAGTTAAAGTAGTATGAAATGAAACAAATTAAAACAAAAAAAAAGAAGAAAACAAAACAAAAATATAAATAAATTAAAAATAAAATAAAGTCATATAAAATAAAACAAAATACAATAAAAAAATCAAAAATAAAAAAATTAAAAAAATTAAAAAAACACCATTAAATGTAGTTTGATCTCTTTTCAAACGAATAAATAATATAATATTATGGAAAATACTATAAAATAAAATAATCAAAAAAATAAAATTAAATAAAGTGAGATAAAATGAACAAATAAAATAACATAAACTAAAATAACAAGATTTGAAATAAATTGGAATAAAATAAATTAAAATAAAATAAAATAAAATAAAATAAAATAAAATAAAATAAAATAAAATAAAATAAAATAAAATAAAATAAAATAAAATAAAATAAAATAAAATAAAATAAAATAAAATAAAAAAATAAAATAAAATAAAATATAATAAAATAAAATAAAACAAAAATATTTAAAATAAAATAAAAAAAAATTTAAACAAAATAAAATATACTATGTAAAATGAAGTGAAATAAAATGAAATAAAGCAAAATAAAATAACTAAACTTATTAATATAAAGAAATAATTAAATAATAAATAAAATATAACAAAATTAATTGAAAAGCAACAAAATAAAATAAAACTAAGTTAAATTAAATTAAGTAAAATCGAATTAAACAAAATAATTCAAAACGAACAAAATAATGTAGAGGCAAATAAATTACAAATGTTAACAAATTAAAATGAAATAAAATAAATTGGAAAAAAACAAAAAACTTTTAAATAAAATAAAACAAAATGAAATAGAAAATATAAAATGAAGTAAAATAAAATGAAATAAAATAAAAACTAAAGTTCAAAAAGTAAAATATTATAAAATAAAATTACTAAAGTAAAAGAAATAAATAAAAGACAGTTTATTTCACTTATTAGAAAGTAAAAAAAAAAAAATTAAATAAAATTAAATTATTACAACAACATTAGATACAATTGAATTAGATATTGTAAAATAAAGATAAATGAAGTAAAATAAAGTACAATATAATTAAATTAATACATTTACTAACATTACATAAATTTGAATAAAAGTCAAAATAGTGAAAAGAAATGAAATAAAATAAACTAGGATAAAACAAAAAAAATTAAATATATATGTATGCATAAATTAAGAAAAGAAGCGCAGTGTGAGGTTGAATGCAGCGTTATAAAATCAAAAAAAAAAAATAATTAAACCTTATACTACAAATTAATATTTTTCTTGCATCACCATGAACACAGTGACCCCAAAGATGTTGAAATTTATGATTTTTCTGAAGAGAATATACACAGATATTAATCTTAGCCCCATTAATGATTTGTACGCTTTGATGTTGGTTTAAAAGTTTATTGTATTTACACACATCTCGAGTTTGTTTACAATGTACATTTGTATGTACATATATATAAGTGCATGTATGCAGATATGTACATCTTTACATTTTTATACAAATGAAAAAAAATATATCCAATTTTATCCAACACCAAAGATTACGCAATTTCCAGTGGGCAATTGCAGTTTAATGCGAGACCGGCAGTAAAACAAAATATTACCGACAGGCAAAAACGAAATATAAGCAAAAACGAAATAAAAAAACAACTACAAAAAGTTATGCGAATACTCGTAAATGCGGTTTAGTCAAGCGATAACCGATGGAGGTCTCGCAGAAAAGTGCGCGCGCAGATTGTAAATTGTGAATGTAAAAATTTGTGTGCGAGTAGTGTATGTATTGGTTGGTGTGTGTACAAATAAACATTTTAAGTTTTGTTTTACACTCATATATAAATACATATATGTATATGCAAGAAGACTTTATACTGCAATTCTGCAATTCTGCAATCGGTCACTTTGCCAACTCCTCTGTCAACTAACCGGTTTATTTCTCACTGGCGTGTTGGTGACCGGCGAATGTAAAATAAAAACAGAAAATTTTGTAAATAAATAATCGAAAAATTGCAAAAGACAATGGTAAAAAAAAAGAATAGCAAATTCTTTGCATTATGTAATTTAGAGTCCATTTCAGGTTTGCATTGGTCTGAGTACGTATGTGGCAATGCAACAGCTGGAAAAAAATGCTCAGAAGTTGTTGCGGCTTGTTGCACCACCAAATTGCAAAGCATGTAATTAAAGTCCGCCGTCTGAGCTAGAAGTTGTGTGTGCAGGAAGTTTTGGTCATTTTCCGGATTGATTGAAATTCTTACGTCAGATATTCGTATGAGGAAATGTTACTAGGGTGACCAGATTAAAATTTTGTCATAAATCAATTTAAATACATGATTACACCTAAGCACAGTGCAATGAGGTGTCTATTGGTTTTACAATAACTCTATATGTAAGCTTAAGGTCCAAGGGAATACTAGTTGTCTTTGTTGTTTCAGAATCTCGGCACAGAATGTCACTTACCAAAGATGTTGCCCTTCCGTAAATACATTTCATCAGAAGCTTTTCTCCAAAAAGATCGGAAATGATTTCTGAAAAAGCCATTAAAGAGCAGCAGACAGAAGCAAACCAAATTTTTTATGGTTTGTTTATTATGATATCGCTTCGCTCGTATTAGAGTTCGTTGGGAAGATTGCTCTGAGCAAGATTAAGAGATTCGTTGAACGTTTTCCAAGACTTGTATAGTGTTTGAGGAAGTCTGAAATTCGGCATTGGCAGCCATTAATTCTTAATAGGAATCCAATTATTCCTCAATTTCTCAAATATTATTCTAAGTAGCTAGAAATGTGAGTAACTGTAGTTATTCTACGAGTTTTTAGGCATTTTCCAAAAGTAAAATTTATTTCACCTTCAAAATTTAATGAAACTAAACTTTTTTTTAATAAAATTATCTTTTTTATTTTAATTAAAGTAATGTACCTTCACATAATCGAAAGGAAATCAACGTAATAGATACTAAAAAATATGTAAAAGGCAGTATGTTTGTATGTACAACAAATGGGTAAATGTATGACAATAATAAAAATGCTCGAATATTCTACAAAATTCACATCAGTCTTTCACACTTTTTTTCCATGTGTGCTCAGGTACTCCCGTCGCAGTTGGCGAGTCATCAGATGAGCAATACGTATGCGTAGCCATTCTGGACCGAGTTTCATGAAGAAGTACTAAAAAAACAGGAATACACGGGAATTAGAATATGAACTTAAAAAGTTTCGCTTCTTAATTGTCTTTAATATTTCAAAATGTTTAAATTTTTTTCTATAAAAATACCTGCAAACCATGTGTCCAATAACCTGTAGTTTCAGTGGATTTACCCAGCGTAAAAACGGCAGAACGTGTAAAACTCTTTACATCCGGTATTAAAAAGCCACCCTTCATCACTGTATCCGAATACTGATTCATTTTGGTTACCAAAAAGAGTGGTGTAACACACTGTACCGTTATATTATGTTCGGCCAACTCGCGTTCAATTGCCTGGGAGAAGCAACGCACATAACGTTTGGTTGCTGCATACACAGCCATATAAGGTATGGGTTGTAATTCACTGCCGGAGGAAATATTTACAATAGCACCACGCTTCTGTTTCTTTAGTTCTGGTATGAGCATGCGTGACATGATAGTGACGGCTGCCACGTTAATATTGATTAGATCCCAAATGGTATCCTCGGGAATTTTGGACAGCTCATCGGGATAGTCGTACATTTTGCCAACATTATTAACTGTCGAAAAGAATGATGAATATACATATTCAAATGAAAAAAATAACAAAATAATTAAAATAATAAAAATAAAATAAAATAAAATAAAATAAAATAAAATAAAATAAAATAAAATAAAATAAAATAAAATAAAATAAAATAAAATAAAATGAAATAAAGCAGAATAAAATGAAATAAAAGTATTATTTATTATTTCTGGCGCCTACCAAGTATGCCGACTGGTATGCCACTCAGCTCACGTTCAATGTGTGTGTATACTTCCCGTCCTTTAGAGAAATCGGCGACAATCCATTTTGTCTTTACTTTAAATTCTCTTTCTGCAAAAATGTGCGAAAAATTTGATAATACACAGTTATAAATATTTTTCAAAAATTTATGAAAAAAGTAGATGGAAAATATTCTTATACAATATTTAGGTATTTAAGTATTTTATTAGTTTTTTTCACTTAACTTTTTTGTTCTGTTTTATTTTAGTTTAGTTAATTCAATTTAAGTGTACTTCTTCTTCTTCTTCTTCTTTATTGGCACTGGCACCGCTTACGCGATTATAGCCGAATCAATATTACCGCGCATTCTTTTCGCTGTTTGGCGCCCTTCCTCCAACTGAGTGAAGGTCTTCCTCTTTCTCATCGAATACTTTAAGGCTGTAGTGTTTTCATCCATTCGGACGGGGTCACGGCCAGCCTAGCCATTTGCTGAACTATGCCAATATCATCGTATAGCTCGTTCAGCTCAACGTTCCAACGTCTGCGATATTCGCCGTTGCCAATGCGCAAAGGACCATAAATCTTACGCAAAACCTTTCTCTCGAAAACTCCTAACGCCGAATCATCGACGTTATCGTCCACGCTTCTGCGCCGTATTGTAGGACGGGTATGATGAGCGACTTGTGGAGTTTGATTTTGGTTCGTCGGGAGACGACTTTACTCTTCAATTGTCTACTCAGTCCAAAGTAGCATCTGTTGGTAAGAGTGATTCTGAGTTACCTGTTGACCTAAACGGGGTTAGGTCGCCGGAAGGGTGACAGCTCTTGGCCGGATAAAATCCGGGTCAACTCCGGTGCGTAGAACCGGCTGTCGTGAAAGTTGCATGCAGGTTCCTAAATAGACTAAATTATCTACGACCTCAAAGTCAAACATAGACGTGGAAGCCAAGTCGGGAATGCGATGACTGTTTGTTTGATGACAGGAGATATTTTGTCTTGCCCTCGTTTACTACCAGATCCATATCCTTCGCTTCCGTATCCAGTCTGGAGAAAGCAGAAATCACGCCGCGGTTATTGAGGCCAACAATAAGATTGTACCTTCTCTATTCAGCTCTGCAACTCATATTATTTTTTATTTTTTTTTTATTTAAAAATACCTAATATGCGATGTTAAGAAGGCTTAATCCTCGATAATTGGTGCAGACTATGGGATCGCCTCTTCAGTGGATTGAGCAGAGCACCCTAAGGTTCCCATTGTTAGGCATGCTTTCATCAGACCATATTTTGCAAAGAAGCTGATGCATGCACCTGATCAGCTCTTCACCGCCGTATTTGAATAGCTCGGCCGGTAATCCATCGGTCATTATACTCTGGGCATCCATCACTAGCTCACCTCCCTGTGTCCTATAAGTGTTTGCTCGGGTCTTGAAACCTTCCGTAAGTTGCCGTATCTATTCGTAGTATTTTCAAGCTTCTTAAGCTCCTCGTACTCACGCATTTCGGCCTCTTTCTTTTTTTTTCTCTGCAAATGCATCTTGCTTTCCCTCTCACCCCGCACATATTGTGGTCGATCGCAAGGTTGCGAGGTAGGCAGTATGTTTCCTCTCCACCACGACACGACACTCTTACACTTACATAATTTTGCCTTATTTTATTTTATTTAATTTTATTTATTTTATTTTACTTTGATTGTTTTTACTTAAATTTAATTTAGCATTTTTTTTATTTTTTTATTTAATTTTAATTTTTTTCAATGTTTCTTAAAATTGTTTATTTATTCCATTTCAACAATTTAACAGAAACTATTTAAATATTCATAAAAAATGTGTCCACTTACCAATCTCCTCAGCCACCGCGATGAGCTTTTCCTTGGTACGTGAGATGAGTACTACATTGATGCCTTGTTTGGCCAATTCCTTAGCATATTCCCGCCCAATGCCATCCGTTGAACCGGTGATTACTGCAAAGTAATAGAAAGAGCGTAGTGTTGTAAACGAATTGACCAAAAAAAAGGTAGTTAAAGTAAATGGTTAGTCATTAACAGTTAAATGCTAATTGTTCTCCATATTCGTGGCTTGGCTAATGGTGTCAAGCTTATCGTTTGGAAAACAAATTTGAAATTGCGCGAATTGTTTGTAATTGTAATTCGCGTTGTTCATGATTTATGAAAAAATATCTTAATGAAAATTATTTTATATAATTTTTTAAAACATTTACAATAATAAAAAAATTGCGCCGAAATAAAATGAATAAAAATCAACGCCACATTTTGAGCAAATTAAAGTGAGTAAAACTTTGAGTCTCAGATTAAGATTTTTTTCCAATTTTTTTGGAGGTATATACGCTCATGGCAATTCCATTTGAACTTGAAAATACAGCAGAAAAAAAACCAAAAATTTAGCATCGTAAAAACGTATATACCAATATATTCATTTTGCAATATCGTGAGGTTTTTATATTTTTTTGACTTAACAGCAAACAACGTCAACAAACAGCTGGAGCCTCGTTTGAAAATGGCAATAAACCGAAAACATGTGCGACTCACGCGACTACAGCAACTAATTTATAATACAACAATAAAATCTACGTTAATGTGAAAGCAATAACAACATTTGAGAAAAGAGTTGAAAGCAACAACAAATATTTAATAAAACAATCAGAGCTAACTGGTCAACAAGCTCACAATCATAACAAGCCGGCTAGACAATCTGAGTCAAGCCATGTTGCGCTGAAGTTAGCCAAGCCGGTTTGGTCGAAGCGTGTTATCTTAGGTTAGGGTTTGTTTATAACCATCATTATTTGTTGTTCTGCTGCTATCTATGAGTAATATGACGCCGTTGGCAGGTGATTGACTGCCGTGGAAAAATAACAGCAATAAGAAATAGCAAATATTGTTGCAAAACGAAACGCAAAAAACGAAACTGAGAACATTGTAAATCACGTGTAAAGCAAAACGATGGCAGGAAAAAAAAAATTAAAAAAAAGAAATAAAGACTTATAATTATAATTATGCAAAATACTGGTAAGATAGGAACATTTTATTTTCAGATATTAACGGTTTCAATTTTTAATATGCTTATTACTTTTAAGTACATGAAATGAAATCCCTTTGATTTTTGAGATATTGAAACCAAAACCAAAAAAAAAAATACTAAACAGCATATCTAAGATCGTATTTTATGAAAAATGAAATAATGAATTAAATATTCAAACCAAAAATCATCGAAATTGGATTATATTACATAGCGCCAAACCATCGATTTGCTTAGATATGAGGTTTGTCGCTGAAAATCCATCAAAAAACTTTCATGAACGTAAAATTTGCTGTTATATACACGTATATACAAATATATATTGTCACAGAAAATCATCGAAAACCGAAAACTTTATCATATGGACCCCTCTAATGAAATGATATTATATTTCAGGCCATAAATGTGATTTGACCATGAAAGACCTAAAGACTTCGGCAGTTATTTTTTCTATTTTTATTTCGAACTTAAATTTTATTTAATTTATTTTTAAATTTAATTTTTAATAAATTAATCAGTTTGATTATGTATTCAATTATTTTAATTATTACTATTTTCGATTTAAGTTTTTATTTATTATAATTTTTTTCTTTAATTTTTTTACCTTAGCAATTTTTTTTCTTTTTGCTATATTTTATTTTGCACTAAATTTAATTAATTTTTTTAAATTAGTTTTAGTATTTGTTTTTGCTTTTTATTTTCTTGTTTATTATATTTTAGTTTTTAATTTAATTTATTTTAATTTCATTTAGTTTATTTTCTGTATTTATTTGAACTTATTTTATTTTATTTAGTTATTATTTATTTTTTTTATTCCGTTCAATTTATTTTCTTCCGTTTTTTTATTATGAAATTATTTTACTTTTAATTAATTAATTTTATATATTTTTATATATTGATTTATTTTAATTTTTATTGTTTTATTTAATTTAATTATTTTTATTTTATTTTCTTTCATTATGTTTTATGCTGAAATATTTTGTTTCATTAATTTTATTTTAATTTTTTTGTTTAATTTAATTTTGTCTATATTGCATTAATTTGCTCGCTCCTATTTTAATTTAATTAAAGCTTAAATGTTTTTTAATATATTATAATTATATTTTTTTTTAAATTTTTATTTTATTTTATTACTTTATTTATTTTAATAAAGTTTGATATAATTTCATTTAGCTCATATTATTTTTTGGTTATTGTTTTAAATTATTAAATTATATATTGATTTATTTTAATTTTTATTCTAAAATATTTTATTTCATTAATTTTACTTTAATTTTTTTTTCTTTACTTAATTTAGTCTATTTTACATTAATTTGCTCGGTCCTATTTTAACTTAATTAAATTTTGAAATTTGTTTTTAATATAGTTTGTTTATAAATTTATTTTTTTATACTTTTATATCATATCATTTTTTAAGTTTAATTTAGTTTGATTTAATTTCATTTAGTTTATATTATTTTTGGGTTATTTTTTTTGTAATTATTTTATATATTTTTATTTTTAAATTTTATTTGTTTTATTTTAATTTAATTCATTTTCTTCAACTTGTAAATAAATACGATTTTACTATTTACATTATTTTTTTATCTTTTATAAATTAATTTTAAAATATTTAGCTTAATTATTTTATTTTGATCTGTTTGTTATTATGTTTCATTTATTTTGTGTCTTGCGATAAATTTTTTTCTTTATATCTATTTTTATTGTAATTTGATTAATTTTTTCCTACGAGCTATTAAGTCAAGAAAATGACTCTAACAAGAAGATGTTTGTTGTTATTGTTTTTCGTTGTGTGTTTTATGAAGTGTGCATTGGAGCAGCAACCTCTGTTTGGCAATTCATTCATAAATATTTAACTGACGAAATGTTGGTGAATCAAACTCATTTTATTATTTGGGGCCTCCATTTGAAGTGCTACTAATACATTGTTTGTTTTTATTTTTTAGTATTCGTCAATACATATTTGTAACGAATTTCTTATTTCATTTATTTAAAATTATGTCCAACTCAGTTAAGTCATTCATTTTGGTGTATTCAAGGCGAACTTTTTTCGTTTGTGTATTTTTGGGGGAAATTTCTTGTTTTGCCTGTCCTTTTTTGGCTTTTAGTTTTTTATATCTTTTTTGTGTTTCGCAATTTTAATAACCATTTATGAATGATAATTATGCGTATTTTATGTGTGTGTGTGCGTAAGTAGTCGAATTTTTGCAAAACGAAAATGCATACAATGGCAACCAGTAACTCTTGTAACCAGCTTTTAAAGGGCATCAAGCTACTAGTAAGGACGGTTGGAATATTCAAGGGCGGTCAGCCGTTAACAAGCGGTTTTTTGCAGTTTTATATACATTTTTTTTTAATAATCTGGCAAACATTAAAGTAAACCTATAATTTTGTATTTCTTTTTGTGAGTCTCTTTTGCATCGGTAAAGAAGATAGCAGAAGCAGAAAAAAATAAAATAAAAAGACGGAGTACTTGCAAAAACAAAAAAATAATAATAATAAATATGTGTGCATTCATATACTTATCTACATGTGTGTGTACATTGAGATCGTCTTAATTTTTGCTATACATGATCGATTTATATATGAGCTTTATTGGGTTTGTGGGACACTTTAACAGTAAAGTTCAACTTTCTTTGCAAGAAGCTAAGTGAAGTTGAGCTTAACCGTATGCTTTGTAAGATATTCGATTACCAGAAGTTTATACATATCAATTAAACTGGTCAACAAAATGCTGAATTAATGCACTTCGGAAGCATCGTATGAAACCGAACAATATTTAGCTAACTGTTTTATCATTAAAGAAGGCAGATCGCAGATATCCGATCCCAACTCTTATAGGCCGAGCAGTCGCATAAAAAGCAAGCTGTTGACTCCACTATGGTCTGTAGCTTTCAGAATAGCTATAACTTCGGTCGGACAGACTGCCCAAATGTGAGAGAAAACGCTCGTTCTCTTCGTGTCTCAACCGATCAATATATAATATATCTCAATGTTGTTCACTGGACTGTCAACAACTCAGTTCTATTCGTCCATATTAGTGATATTCTTATAAAAATACAAATATAAAAAAAATTGTTAAAAATTTCTTAAATATTATTACTTCGTTCAACTATTTATTAGAAATCGGGATCACCGACTTCAAAAATACCATTTTGGGGAAAACTCGTCGCAGAAGTTACAGAAGAAGCTTACAAATACTTAAGATATTTTTCAAATTAAGTTACATAACCGAAAATATTTATTGGATTGGCTTCATAATTCTGAGAATGCAAAAAAAAAATTGAATTTTTTTTGAAAATTCTAGCTGCGCACGTTTGATTCATTAATTAAATTAAAATAGTAGAAAACTTAAATTAAGACATAAATTTTATATTTAAATTATTGGTCTAGTTGTTCTACGGATTTGACTCTCTTTTCTCATGTAAGCACTGAAAGTTCTTTTGTTAGATGCGAATTTGTCTTGTTTTTGTGTCAGTGTTATCTTTCTATATATATTTGAACAGTATAATTACAACGCAAGGATTAAGGAAGTAGTCTGCTTTAGAGACTTCAAAAAATTCATATATTTTCTTAAATCTTTTGTAGAACTGTTCAAGAATTTCAAAATTTCAGTGGCCAGTTTGACATAGTATTTTGGAACCTAGAGCAGTTTGAATGGTCGGGCAGAACTTTGAAGCGGGTTTTCTAGGGTTTTTTTTTATTGTTCTAAGCATTAGAGAAAGTTGACGATAATCGAAAAAATCATAATAAATTAATTGAACTAAAAAAATAGTATTCCAACTATTTTTATTTGCAGCTTGAAGTGATTTTCTTTTAAAGTATTTTTTTGTTTTACAAACTTTGAAAAATTTGGAATTTTCAACTATTCCGGAAATTTTTTTATTAAAAAAAATATATATAAAATTTTTTATTAGGTATCGCACGAACTCTATCATCGGCACCGTTTCACAGAGTTCAGATTGCAGCCGCTTTCTTTGGAAAATTCCAATATTATTTTATACTAAATATTGTTTATTTGGGGCTTAAATTAGGTCTGAAAATTTCGTTTACCGCAATAATTTCCTTCCCTTCAAAAAAAAAAAAAATTGCTGCAGAAACGGATTTTCTTCGGGCTCTAGGGGAGCTTACTGCCTTAAGTAGATTTAGTACAATAAATTCCAATATTACACCTAATTTGACTGTAATCCCGATGGTTCGATAAGATTATTCACTTTGATAACTAAGTGCTACTATAGGTAAATAATATTTGAAATTAACCATTTATGGCTATGAAATATTGTATAAATTTACGAAAATTTTAATTTAATAAATTACTTCAATAAAATAATTATTTTTAATTACCAAAAATATTTTTTTTTGATTTACAATACTTAAAGTAAAGAAAAAATTTTTTAATGCAACACTAAAATAAATAATTTAAATATTTATTATCTAGTTAATTGGTATATAAAATTAATAAAACATAATAACTGAAACCCAATAACTCACCTGCCCACTTTCCAAACTTTTCCACCAATGTCTGCGGCAGCTGCGGTTGAAAATATGGCTCTAAAATCGACTTCACTATGCACAAAACCGATTTGAAGTTGTCAAAGAAGAATGTTGCAATGGCCAGCAGGCCCACCAAATAGACGGCAAAGGAAAGTAGTTGCCAAACGAACGCCATTCTCAGCAATGTGTAAACACTCACTTCATTTAACGAATACATGGTGCGAATATATGTATGCGTTTAGGTATATTTTGAATATTTTATTAATTAATTATTTTTATTTTGTTTAAAAGCTTCTCAATGAGTTGAATTTTTAGTGGAATTCAGTGGAAACAAAAACGCTGCTGATAAGCGCAATGCGTTGAGTCAAATATTTTGGTCTGATAAGTTGGCAAAGAGTGCGCTAAAAGTCAACAGAAGTGAGATAAGAAAACTGTAACTGAACACACGAATAAATATGTTTATTACTGTTAAACATAAATACAATTATTTATAGCAGCTTTTAACACAGCAGAACTCAACACTCTCTTGCACTCACTGCACTTTCTCGCATGGTTTTCTCTGTGTTCTTGTGTCTCGTTTACTTGCTAGTTGTTGCTGTTAAAGTGCTGTAGTTTGTTGTTTCATTGTTCGGATTTTTACAATTTTCTTTATTTCTTTCATTCGGAACCAAAAAAAAAACTATACATTCAATTTATACGCAAACAAAATTCTTTTTTTTTTTCAAACTCAAACCAAATTTGTATGCAAAAAAATTCCCAAATTTAACCTTAAAAGTGTTAAAGTTCACTCTCACTGTATTTATTGTAATTTATTTCAATTGAAGCACAAGACACAGCCACTAAACCACCACTGGGTTCACTTCGATTTCAATTTCCGTGCAGCTTAAGTCGTGTGAACCGCGCGTTTTGCCGTCGAGTAGGCGACTGATTGTCAAAATATCGAAAAATCGTTCAACCAACTGTCTGACAATTGCATATCCACTGATTGCTTTGTACACGGTGTAGGCTCTGCAGCTAAAAGCTATGCTCAGCAAGCGTCTAATAAAACAAACAAGCCACTGGTGGCATGCAGAAGCTCAAGCTCAACTTATTTCAACTATTGCTGCCCGGTTTAGTTGAAGCAAACTTTTGTTTTGAAGCTCCACTGACGTTGCTGCAGATGCTGTGTCGCAGCATGCAACATTTTACATAATATTATTATTATTTATTTTCATTTATACATTATGTATATGTAATACATCTCTTTATCGGGCTGGCGTGGGCTTGAGTTATAGTTTATGCTTTGTAGTGGTTTTTTCCATCATAATGCTTGCGCTTGTAAACTCTTCATTGAGCTTGAGGTTTGAGTGCACAAAAACTGTGTTGTTTTTTTACTGTAATAAACGCCTTTTATATACACATGTATATTTTATTTTTAATGGTATCTTTTCTTGGATTAAATTTTTTTACCCAAGCATTTTTTTTGATCAAGTTTCATGTGAGGCACTACTCGTACTCTCCGGCTCCAAATAGGAACTCTCTAGGAAACACTGACGTAATTGAATTGTACATTGGTCTAGTACGAGTAGAATTATTCGATCTATTTCCAATGCACCATTTTGCTCGATAATCTTAGAAATTCTTATCCCTTTTCGCAAAAAATTGGGGCAATCGATTTCATCGACTTCATTTAAGGCCAGTTCTTCATCATCCAAATCTTTTGCCATAGACAGAAACAGCTAGTAATCACTTGGTGCAATGTTAAGATTATTATTTGGATGCATAAGAATCCCACAACAAAGTTCTTGGAGCTTCTGGCGAGGCACTATCGTGTGTGTGGCCTGGCGTTTTCCCAAAACACTATTCTCCTCCTTGGCCGAAGCTGGGCGCTTCTGGACGATTGCTTCCTTTAAACGACCCAATTGTCAACAGTGAAGGCTCGAATTAAAAGCTTCCCTTAGAGTCACTGCTCGCAGTGGATTATTCATTGCCAATCTCAACAAACACAGAAAAAGCCTTCCTGGTCGTCAATCCTGGTTTAGAGTGGCACCCATACATCGAGCACTACTATCGCTGAAGGGATTTTCGGCTAAGTTACTTCTGCGTTTTTATAAAAAAAAAATTAAAAATTAAGTATTTGTGAGCAGCCTCCGAACGGCTGATGGATTTTTAATCCAAGAAGACGAAGCTAATTTTCTTCATTTCTTCACATAAAACGCCAATGTAATTAACAAAAAATTAATAAATACTTCTCCATGTAGACGGGATATGGTAAATCAAGTCAATCACCTCTGAGTTTCTTTAAGTTAAGAGAACATCGCTCTTTTGTATTAGTGGAGCCTTACGGTCTGCTCGAACTGTGCTTTTGGGTACACTCCTCATTTCCGTTTTGGGTCACGAAATGCGTTTTTCGAGACTAAAACAACAAAAATTCTGTTAATAGATAGAGACTACTACAGATTTAAAAGTAGTTATCCTGGATAAAAATCAATACAAATGCAAATTTTTTTAAGCTTTTTACGGTTGTATAAGTGGTAGAACCTACTCAGGGGAGCCTGGTACTAGCAAATCCTTTCGTTTATCCTTTCACTGTAGTGTTTTCAGGCGGAGCTGGCGACTATATGTGAGGCTGTTAATTGTCCCGTAAGCTCAATGGTAATCTGGTACTCCCGGGAAAATATATTCATATCTTTTCGAATAGCCAGGCCGTATTAAGGGACCACTTAACAAGCTCTCTCTGAACCTAGTATGGGTGTCAAGATACAACGATATATCGAGTAACCATTTGGCGAACGAATTTACAAGGAGGTACTTCTCTTCTTGCTGCTATCTACTAGTAAACCCACCTTAAACGAGTTAATAACCAAAGATGCTCGAGTAAGATATTAAAATCTAAGCCAATCGATGCAATGTGAACAGGATAATATAGCCAACATGGGAGGAAAAATAAGTCACGGAAGCCTATCAAACAAAAAAAGGGAGGAGATGTCTATATCTATGGGCGTTCTTACAGGGCATGTTCTATTGGATTGGCCCGAAGCGAAACTGGGCGTTTTATTAAACGACTTCTGCAGAAGTTGTAGAGAAGAGGAAGAACCTGAAACCTTAAGGTACCCCCATGTCGGATTGACCACATTTTGGGGGAGTAAGTTGGAGTATATAGGGCAGCAATTTTTAAACATTTGAGCGCAAGAGCTACCGCAGCTGCTCTGTGGATTGACCCTTTTACAAACTCTGACTAGCGGGCTTATTGTCAATGAGCTGACCGGATTATATCAATAAGAGTTTTGACTTGGTAAACCCACCACTGACCAGACATGCATGGCGACACTGACTAATACAGTGAATTAAGAGAAAGATGCTACGCTGGCCGGGTCATATTATCCAGATGGAGAAAATACCTTAGTGCTGAAATTATTCAGTGCAAATCCGCTGATGGAAGGAAGGGAAAAGGAGGACTTCCATTTTGAAAATGGAGGAGGACCTAACTTCACTTGGCGCCGATCTCTGAAGAGGTGATACGACTACAATGGAATGAAAGATAAAGAAATATTTCAGCAATTTTGACCTTTCGTTTAGTGAAAAGGGAGCCAAAACCGGATAAGCGGAGATATAAGATATCGGTTGATCATTATTTTTTCAATCAACTACTGAAAGTGTTTCCATAGAGACGGAAACTGTAGGCAGTTCACACCTACCTAAATATTAAGTGTAGACTTTAAGACTGAAGAACTATATTTGGTTATACCATCTAGTGGTATCTCAGGGAAGTTTAGAGTTGTTCTTATTTCCATCATGACTTATGGCATAGTTTTTTTGCACTAGTATATTGCAGTAGATCGCACATAGGCTGGCGAGCGGAGCAGTAGAAATCCCAATTGAGGCAAGCAAGGAGTGGAAAGATAGTTGATCTTCTATGCTTATGGTAGCTGAAAATATAATTAATTTTTAAAAGTATTATTTGAGCACTTAATATTTTTTGTTTATTTTCAATCCCTTGGAAAAAGCCCAATAAAGTTAGTTTGCCAACTGGATTAATGAAAATAGAATGAGTTTAATAGAACTCATTTAATAGTTGCTTATTGATTTTTTGGGACTGTTTTATGCTGGAGGAAAAATGTTAGAAAGTGGAGTTGGCTTTGCCAATTATTCACTTTCGAAATTTCACAAACTTTAAGATCAGTACCGTAAATTTGTATGTTCGAAGCCATGACACATAGCACGACGCACTGTTATCCACTCGACTTAAGCGACTAAAGCGACTTGAGGAGATGTTAGCTCTGCTTCAAGCTTTAACGACATTGTGCACAAAATAAAGCTACCAACAGCGGTTAAGCCGCCGTTAAGAAGGGTAACTACATGAAAACTCTTTGTTTAATTGTAAAAAGAGATAAAGAAATAAGAAACATTACATTCAAAGCTAACAATGGCATGTTGTAGAGTTAAAAGGTCAAGCTGCATTGGTACAGATCAAAAGATTGTCTGTTAGCATGCATAGATGCAGCATAAAACCATTCCACCATTCAACACCTCTAATTGAAAACTAGTTTTGTATGCCATTGTGTGTGCATGGCTTTATATGACGTACATACAAACATAAGTTTGTTTCTTCTTCTTCATCAAAGTACGTGTTCAACCATTTTAACACATATATAAGTGTCGCAGTGTTTGTGTGTGTAACATCAGGTGTTCGTTCATATATACATATATATATATGTATGTGTATTAAATTGTCTTTTCTTAAGGTAAAATCAAACAATGGCGGCAGTAATAATAAAAAGTGCATAGTAATTGTTGAAGTTGTGCAAGTCGCACACTAACAAATTTAAAAGATTTATTCTATATAGAAAATAAAAACATTCTTTAAGGAACATGGCAAACACTTAGATTATAAAGGCAATTTATAAGCAATATGTTAGTATAAATACATAGCTTGGGACGCGTAAAATGAAGGAAATGTGAATTAACGTACTTAAATAAATACTTTTATTTTATAAATTTATTTATTTTTATTCAATACAAATTTTTTTTTTTTTTTATACGAAAACAGCAACGTAAAAATAACTAAAAAATTAGTTATTTCTTTTGCTTAAAATAAAAGTTTTATTATTATTTACCATCGAATTTGGTTGCAAGGCCGCAATAATTTTGGATTTTGCGGAAATTCTACATCAAAGAAGTGGTGTTGACTTAAAAAGAGGTTTGTAGGCGTTAACTCTAAGGCATTCCAACTAAATTTGTAAAAATATACGCAAAAATTTTGCAAATCATCGAAGCGTGTGACACATTAATGGAAAAAAATTCAAAAACATGCTCTCTAAAATGGATTTTTTTAATGAATCAATTTTATACTAGAGTTCGCTTGAGAAATCGTCCACATAAAATATTGAAATGGTCGCAACAAGATTTTTATTTTATTGTTTAAGTTATTTGTATTATTATAACTCTTAAACTATTATGTGAAAACGTATGAAAAAAAAAGAAAGAGAAGTCTACACCATATCATTTTGCAAGCAAATTGAATCATAAATATGAATTTTTCAGATAGACCGGTCCAGAAAAAAAGTTGCCATGCATTGACCTATGCAAAGATCAGTCTGCGTTCCTCATGGTAAGCAAAAACTGACCATCCAATTGATTCCACGTCCAATTTCTGGAAAAAAAGTGTTCCCGTCGCTAATTTATACAAAAAATAAACTCTGTTCAAAATTTGATATAAACCAAAAGGTAAATAAATATTTTTAACTAGATCAGCTAGATCCACTTCCCGCAAGGAAAAGCTTTTCTCATGTCAATTTAAGCAAATATATAAAAATTACTTCAATTTTTTCGAATAGATCGATAACAGGCCCGCATCTCTGAAAATCCTTGTTTATCGGATTGACGTCGGCATCAATATGCAAAACATTACTTCCAAATTTCAGTCTCTACCATCAATGCTTTTGACTGTGGGCTTATCCAGCAATCATTAAGGACAAATGTTTTTAAATTGTATATATCTAATTATCCGATTTATATCAAATAAGCACCGATTTTTTCGATAACTTTTTGGCATCTTAAAGATAATGTCATTATGTCTCCTTTATAGAAACTCCTTTTGGGTTCTGCTTGAGTATGCTACGGTTTTGACCCCATATGTACGACGCATCATTTTCTCGTAAAATTTTTGAACTTTGCTTTTGTCATAGAGCAAATATCTATGTAAGAGAGCAAATAT